TTTTAATACATATTTTAGAAATGTAAATAATTAGTTTTAATATTGTTTTAACTCTCTTATTAGGCTCAACGATATTACAAACTGATAAATTTGAATGTTTCTAGTAGATTTATGCAACTCACAATAAAAAATCCTGAGTCCAATTGTTTCGGACTTACATATAGACTAAAACCAAAATAGCGCACATTACAGGAATGAAAAACAAAGACGGTGGCTCCTGTCTGCCGCGTGTCATGAGGCCTCCTCCTTGAAATAAAACGTCTCATGTACATATCTATTTTTTAGGGAGTAATATACAGTATAATATTCGCTCTGTCAATTATAACTTTATTTATCATTTTTCCTTCTTTAAATAATGTAGTGTGTGACCAATAGATTCACGCCCATTACTCGATCGGTTACTATTTTGGTAAGATTCATTCTCATTTTTAAAATGGTAAGTTATTCAATAATGTAGGTATGGTTACAATATGACACGTATGGAAATATGGTAACATATGTCATGTGTAAGATAAGATGAAATAAGGTACCTTGGATGCTGAATTATATTTAGCTATTTACGTATACGACATATGATATTTTTGTATTATTGATGCGTAAAGGACTAGTTAGCGATTAGCCTTGCATATATAAGCCTTGTAATAATAGGTTAGTGGGTAACTATTCATTAAAACATTCATTCGATCTTCTTCCTTATCACAAAGCAGAGTAGATAGACATTTCATCTTCTTCTCTGATTACTAGTATTATGGACGTGCGGAATCCCCACAAATCAAGCCACATGTTTGGCAAAGTACGTACAAGGCAAATATTATGCATTATGGACGAAGCAAGACCATACATGTGGATAAGAAGAATGCTCAGACATGGTCCTTCATCATCAGACCGGCTCATCAGTGCCATCATCCTCAAAGGACATGAGTCCAACGTCGTCCTTCATTTTCAGACGAACTTCATCAGCGCCGTCGTTCTCAAAGGACAGGCGTCCAACATCGTCATTCATCTTCAGACGAGCGTCCAAGCTTGGTCTTTCATCATCGTACCGGTTCCCCCGTCCTTCATCTGCAGACGAGCATCCAAGCCGGGTCCTTCATCATCGGACCGGCTCCGCTGTCCTCATCATCAGACGGGCGTCCAGCGTCGTCCTCCATCTTCAGACGAGCGTCCATGCCTGGTCCATCACCGAACCGGCTTCGCCGTCCCTCATCTTCAGACCGACGTCAAAGCTTGGTCCTTCACATGATGACCAGTTTCATCAACGCCGTTGTCCTCAATGGAAAGGTGTTCAACGTCGTCCTTCATCTTCAGACGGACGCCAACGAATTGTCCTCCAGCAAAGGACGAGCGTCATCAGCGTCGTCGTTCATCATCAGACGGACACCAACACCCTGTCCATCATCAAAGGACCGGCTCTTCATCAGTGACGACGTCCTCATATCACGACCGCCCCCTCGACTATGACGTGATTATCTACATCAAGATTGGCTACTCAGCGCCGAAGTCTTGATCTAGTGACCAAGCTCGCTACTCCCCTCCCGGATAGCGACGGTCGCCTTTATATGACGACCGACGTCATCATCGCCTCATCATCATTTATTGTAACGGCTCTTCATCAGCGCCGATGTCCTCATATCACGACCGTCCCCTCGGCCCCGACGTGATTATCTACATCAAGAGTGGCTCCTCAGCGCCGAAGTCTTGATCTAGCGACCGGGCTCGCTACTCCCCTCCCGGATAGAGACCGTCACCTTTATATGACGATCGGCTTTATGATCTTCGCCTCATCATCATTTATTGGACCGACTCCTCATCATTGTCGTCCTCATATCACAACCGCCCCCCTCAGCCTCAGCGTGATGATATATCTCAAGATCGGCTTCCCCAGCACCGAGTGTCTTGAGCTAGCGATCGGGCTCTCCATCCCTTCTAGTATGGGGACCATCGCCTTTATATGACGATCGACCCATCACTGCCATTGTCCCCAGATCACGAACGGCCCCTCGGCCTCGGCGTGATTATTTATCTCAAGACCGGCTTCCCCAGCGCCGAGCGTCTTAAGCTAGCGATCGAGTTCTCCACCCCTTCCAGGATGGGGACTGTCGCATTTACATGACGATCGGCCCATCACTATCATCATCCTCAGATCATGATCGGCCCCTCGGCCTCACCATGATGATTTATCTCAAGATCGGCCCCTCAGAGCCGAGGTCTTGAACGAACGACTGGGCTTGCATTCCCTTCCTGGATAGCGACCGTCGCCTTCATATGACGCACGACTCATCACCACCGTTGTCCTCATATTCAGACAACGTCCATCACCTCGTCCTCTTATTCGGACCATCTCATCAGCGTTGTCGTCCTCATAATTCAAACAGGCGTCCATCGCCTCGTCCTCATATTCGAACCGGATCCTCAACATCGTCGTCCTCATATTCAGACAGACATCCCTCATCAGGGTTCACCGTCGTCCTCATGTTCAGACAGGCGTCCATCGTCTCGTCCTCATATTCGGACCAGCTCATCAGCACCGTCATCCTCATATTCACCACTTTTGCTTCATTCTGGGGCATCCAGTGTACTCTTTTTCTCTCATTAAGAATTTTCCCCACACGGTTTTTCCCCACATGTATGTATGTATGTATGTATGTATGTATGTATGTATGTATGTATGTATGTATGTATGTATGTATGTATGTATGTAGGTAGGTAGGTATGTACGTATGTAGGTATGTACGTATGTACGTATGTACGTATGTACGTGTTGAAGGTAAGCCCCGTAGATCCGAAAGACCAACACGAACTTTGGATATATCAGGAATGGACCAGAATCAAAGTGTATAACAAAATATAAAAAATGAATCCACTAATACCCAAAAGCCCACTTGTATTAATTAACCTGTCTGATTACAAGGAAATGTCCCGATCGGTAGGTCGGAACAGTGCTTTAATACAGGAAACAAGAGTAATAATGCTATTCTAGAGCTTGAGTATTGAAATGTTGACCCTTACAATGATATTAAACCTTCTATTTATACTAATGGAGAGCATGGGCTGATCTATGCTGATTGGCCGTTGTTCCACCGACTTGATCACCCATGTTTCCACTTGCTGATGTCACAATCTGGCATTAATTGCACCTGGCCACTTGCTGATATCGCGTTGCTCGAACGGGATGCTGGATCTTGCGGATGACGCTGTCAATTTGGCCCAAGTATGACATATGGTCCGAACTCCGTTCGGTATCTCTTCTTTCTGGGCCGACCTTTACTCAGACCGAACCCCGTTCGGTATGGATTCTTCACTGGATCTACTCATCATAGGGTAATGGACTCATTGTTTGGACCGGGTATTCCGGGCCTTTTTAATCCGGGTATTGGGTCTCCGGGTCAATATCCCAACAATAATATAAATTTATATATGTGTGTGTGTATATATATATATTATATAAAAAATATATATATATATATATATATATATATAATATAAATCTATATATGTGTGTGTATGTACACACACACTCTTACACACAAGGAGTGGTTCAAGTGAGAAAGTATACCCAAGAGAGAAATGAGAACGAATATGAACCGTTGGATTATTTTATGTGAAATTGAATTGTGCGTTTGGTAAAATTGAAATTTGCATTAAGTGAAATTGATATGTGCAGAATGAAAAATAAAACTCAAATAGTCAAATGTGCATTACATGAAATTGAAATGTGCAGAATAAAAGACACAAAAATGTCACCGTATCATAGTTTTTATTTTACACATTTCAGTTTCACCTGGTGCTCATTTGAGTTATCACCAATGCATATTACAGCTTGACATAATACCATTGTGCGGTTGTGCCTTATCTTTTGTGCTGCACATTTCGATTTCACTTAATGCACATTCAATTTCACAAAACACAATCTAACGGTCCAGATTTCTCTGAGGGTATGTTTGGTTTGGGGTTATCTCACATTGAGACCGGAATGTGATGTGTGGAATGTTAGATACCCATGTTTGGTTCACAGTTTTGAGAAAAGATCGGGAAAATTACATTCTCGGGAGTCGGGAATGTAATATGGAGGAGAATCTTATACCCTTCCATGCCTTAGGTTATCTGACATTCCCGGGGGATGATCTAATTTTCTTTCGAAAATATCGTCAATTAATTATCGCTTTTCATTTAATTTCTCTATGTATTCAAGTTTTATCAAATTTGAATTTTTGTGATTTTATAAAACTTATAATGTAGTTTCTAAATGTGTAACTTTTATTTACTAAAAATAATCTTATTATTGACAATGATCAGTTAATTTTAGGGGATTTCCCTTAAATATTACTAAAATATAAGTTATGGATAAAAATATAACTACGGTTAATATGCATAGTCACCATGATGTAATGTTGAACACTATCATGGTCAATAAAGTTACTATTATAGTCACTAAGTCATATTTGTGTCCATTACCTTCGTTTCAGTTATATATTTGTCATTATTTATTAATTTTATAGCCAGTCGAATATCTAAATTGTGTGACAACCTTTTAAGTGGGACGAATGAAGTATGTTTATTTAATTATATTCGAATGTCTATTCTTGTTATTTTCATAATTCCTTTTTCCTTAACATTAAATTTTTTAAGGTATTTATGCCTATAGATTATTTAAGTTTTTAATGAGTGGATTTCAAAATTTAATGGCAAAATTGATCATTTTTTCTTTAATTTGAAAACAAGTTTTACGAATAACTTGAACATTTTTAAATTTTTTTTATTGTGTTAAAGAGAATATTTAAAGGGCATTGACGTAATCCAGCATATCTCTAATATAAGATCTTTTAACCAAATAAATTAATGTTACATTATCTTAAACTTAACTAAACACAAATAGGAATAAAGTGAATACAATAAAAAGAATACAAAGGCCAAAATCCACCTAAGATACTCAGCAATCTAAGATTCATATGGTAATGTATGATTCTTTGAACCAAACGCACCTTAAGTCCGTGGAATATATCTCCCAAGCGACGAACTGGCCAAGCCCAAAATACAAAGGCCCAGAAATCAAAATCCCAAATTTTTACTCCACATCTCCACATACCACAGTAAGGGCGTAGGGCGCAAGAGCCGTCGCAACGATTATCGCTAATCCGACTAATCGGAAATATCCCAACTCTTCATCACTCGTCAGTCGGTGGTCCGGTGTGGCGGTAACTGCGGTCGGACGTCGGACGGTCGGAACACCGTGCACGGCTTAGCCTAAGGTAGTAGAGGCTTGCCCGCTTATCATTCTTGTCTCTCGTCCCAGGCCATTTCTGCTCTTCGTTAAATCTCCGGTATGTTTGTTAAATGCATAGTTTTATTGTATTTTTTATATTCAATTTATCTATTTAGAGACTAAAATGCAGAATTTACAGCCTTATTTGATTATTTCCAAATTTCCATATTAATAACTTTCAGGGGGCTTGCTACTTTGGTAAGTTTGTTTAGCCGTTCTATCTGCTCAGAGTCTTCAGACTAAATTATAGTAGTATTCAATTTGATTTTTTTGACTACTTGTGATTCATAGATTCTAGTGTGTTATTTGTGAGCATCATTTATATTAGTATGAATTTGTTTGCGATTTGTTATTATTTGTTATATTAGAGTCTCCAGACTAAATTATATCTTGAAACCGGATAAGTGATGAGTGGTTCAATGATAGAATTATTGTTTATGTAGAAAAATATATCTTCTTTGAAATTGTCAACCATGTCATTATCAAACGATATCAATCTATTAAAATCCGTAGAGAACAGGCGTAAAATTATGTTTTTCTTTGTATTTGACTTGGACAAAAACTCTTATTCTTATAATATTTAGGGAAAATTCCCGAAATAGGAGTAGAAAAGTTTGAAAATTCCTAAATAGGATTGCCAAGTTTTTATTCCCTAAATAGGAGTAATTACTGCCAAGGATTGCCCTGTTTAAAGTTTGGTACTGCCAAAACATGACAATAATTGGTCCTATTTTGGGAATAAAAATATGATAGTCTTATTTTGGAATATAAAAATGCTATTAGTCCTATTTAGGGTAATTTTCTTACTATTTATTATTGTTTTGAATTTTTTGTTACAATAGATGTTATTTTATACTTGAAAATAAATTTTGTCAAATTCACATTGTTGTATTACATTTTGACCTTTTTTTGAAATATACTGTGTTTAACTAAATCTGCCCCCCCCTGGATGCCGAAGCTAGATCTTCCCTGGAAATACATATACATGCTGCATGGACTCCCTACTAACTTGTGTTAGTGTAATAATGTGCTTTGTTGTTTACCACATTGTTTTTTTGTTGGGTTTTACTTGTCTCAGAGAAAAATGAGTCGCTCTAGCAGGAGTTACAGAACTTTGTATGTTAGTGTAATAATGTGTTTTATTGTTTACCACATTGTTTGATTTTGTTGGGTTTTACTTGTCTCAGAGAAAAATGAGTCACTCTAGCAGGAGTTACAGAACTTTGTATGTTGGCAATCTACCTGGTGATATTCGCGAGCGTGAAGTCGAGGATTTGTTTTACAAGGTATTCTTGAAAACAGTTCATGATGTCATGTGATTCCATCTTATTATGTGCTGTATGTTATAATAATTATATTAGTTGATCACCACATGTAATAGCAGTTACTTTTCGTGTTTAGAATCACGTGCAGTATTCCAAACATAATTGGCCACTTAACTTGCATGCATGTATGGTCACAATGTTCACATCTGATACCTACCACAATCTTTCTTTTCTATTTTCTCTTATATGATCTCCCTTTCTATTTTCTTTTATCTGGTCTCTTATATGTTGTGTTCGATGTAAATGCAGTATGGACCGATTGCGCACATTGATATGAAAATTCCTCCCAGACCTCCTGGTTATGCTTTTGTCGAGGTGACGCCAAACTCTTTGTCTTTCCGTGTTCTATTCTGATCTTAAACCTATCGTAACTATTTTCCACACTGTTACATTAACTACAGTTCAAGGATGCTCAAGATGCTGAAGATGCTATTCGTGGTCGCGATGGCTATGATTTTGATGGACACCGATTGCGGGTTAATCAAGCGTTATGATCAATTATTTTTTTTATGAATTGAATTCCCTTCTGTGTTTTTTATGTTGTTGCACCGTTTTCAATATGCTCAGGTTGAGCTGGCTCATGGTGGCCGTGGCCAGTCATCTACAAATGATCGCCACAGTAACTATAAAAGTGGCCGTGGTCCACAGGGGGGAGTGTCAAGGCGTTCTGATTATCGAGGTGATATTTTTAAAAAACTTTTTACTCAGATTTTATTCATTTGTTATTTTACTCATCTGCTTGCATCTCACTTTTGCTTCTTGCTCAGTGATGATTACTGGATTGCCCAAATCTGCTTCATGGCAAGATCTTAAGGTTAGTGGTCATTGCTCAATGCTGATGCTGTAAATGCACATGAAGTGACTATACATATTCCCTCATAATATGTACTGATATCCTTTTCAATGAACCCACTTTTGTATGCCTGTCTTATAGGATCACATGCGTCGAGCTGGGGATGTTTGTTTCTCCCAAGTATTTCGTGAGGGAAGTGGTAAATGACTGGAAAAGTTGCACGTGCAGCTGTGTATTTGTTGTAAGTTTTATCTCCTCTTATTTTTTATGCACCAACGGATCTTTAATGGTGAATGTGGTTTTAACTTTTAAGGAATGTCTGGAGTTGTAGATTACACAAATTATGATGATATGAAGCATGCTGTAAGTTATTTATTCATCTTCATATACCAGCTCTGTTTTTCATTTTATCTGGGAACTCTATTTCCCGGATTTGATGCATAATGTGTTGAATTAATATCTTTTTCTTCATTTTTTGTTTAAAGATAAAAAAACTTGATGCGTCTGAGTTTAGAAATGCATACTCAAGTGCAGTAATATGTGTATGGCTACATCCCATCTTTTCTACTTCACGTTTAATCTATATACCACGAGTATTCTTTTTTGTAACCATACATATTATCCACATGTAGGTTAAGGAATATGAATCAGGACGTTCGAGAAGCCTAAGTCGAAGCCGCAGTCCTTCTTATTCAAGAGGAAAGAGTGGCGGTCACAGCCGCAATCGACGCCGAAGTGACAGTCGTAGCAGGAGCAGAAGGTTTTTTATATACTTAAATTTGGAATTTAGGGCTTTTTCTTATACTAGTAATAATGTACATTTGATTTCTAGTTTTAAATTGTTTATTTATCCAAAAGGACTACTCATCATTGTTGCAGCAATTCTCCTAAAGCCAAGCCTTCTCGACGTTCAAGTTCTCATTCAAAGTCCGCATCCCGGTCCCGCTCTAGATCAAAAGGCCGCTCTATGTCTAGGTGTCTGATCTCTATATATTCTTCTTTTTTCTTATGAAAGCATCTGTAATTTCATATGAGTGTGTGTGTGTGTGCGGTTATAGTATTTACTATCCTCATATGCATTGGATTTTTGATTTTTTGCGTCCTTTCTTTACTTTTTAATATCAAGTCCGCCTGACTGAATAATTTCTAGCTTATCTTAACTTATTCCTTTTATCAAGTGTGTTGATTTTCTATCTCTTTTTAAATGGTTTTATACAGTCTTTTGGTGAGTGAGAGGTTTCTAGATCAAAGTCCTCATCAGTGATAAGTTCTTAATGAACAACGACAAAATTTGACTTTGTTTTTCACGTTTTGTTCGTGGCCATTTCACTGACAAATTCAGTGATAAGTCCTTAACGAACAGTGCCCAAGGATGAATATCGGGTTTAAAAACTCTTGAACAAATATACAAGTTTATGAAACAATATTCCTTTTACTCATCCTCATTTATTTTACTTTTTCTTGCAAGTGGCTTATTTTTAATATAAGAAACATGCTATAAATTCTCTGCTGCATGTTCGTAATATGTCAATTACTGTGTTTCATTTATGTATTGCTATCTGTTGTTTCTGATGGGTTCTTAATGTTTTCTTGAGCATCATAAGCCTTTTAACTTTGCACATTAACTTATTTTTGCAATTTATACCATAAATAAAAGGTAACCGACATACACGTGATAATGATGCACCAAAAGTGTTTTAAATATCAATTTTGATATTTTTCTTCTTTACTCTGCCACTCATATCAATCTAATTGTGATCTTATGTCTTCTATTATTGTTTTCCTTTATTGTCCATACATACAATTTTGGTCCACACTATGCACACTACCTTTCACATTTGGATGCTTTCATTTTCTAATTCCAAAATTCTAATAATTTCTTAAGAATTTTCAAAAGGGCAAAGGTTTATCTTAGCCTTGGGTCTTCATGGAAACAGTCTCTCGACTCCTTGAAGTAGAGATAAGGTCTTCATAAATTTCACCCTTCCCAGCCCTTCTTCCGAGTTGTACTTATAGTTTTGTTTGGTTTGATTACTCTGAACTTGTGGTGATAACTAACTAAGGGATTGGATCCTTTTTTGGTACTTCTTGAGAGACAAACCTGAGAGTGGGTTGGTGTGGAAAATACAAATAAAAAGGAACTAGATCTGAAAGGGTAAGGCCCCGTTCAGGTAGTTGCTATGTGCCGGTTTTTGTTTTTATAATTCTAAGTTACATGATATAACTTGTAATAGACCCAAACAACTCATGTTTAATAAAAAAATGCCAACAAAAAACTGAAAACCCATCTTTTCTGGTTTCCGAAATCTTTGTTTTTTAAAGTGTTGTTTCTGGTTCCGTATAAACCTTATCTGTTTCTTGAGAAATTCATCATTGCATTCTTTTCTTTTTTATATATATGAAGTCACTATTTTTTAGATCGGACTATCTGCAGCAATTTGTGGACTGCGTATTAGGAACTTGAATGGATATGGCTCAAATGCCTAGGAACTTGAATGGATATGGCTCAAATGCCTAGGAACTTGAATGGATATGGCTCAAATGCCTAGGAACTTGAATGGATATGGCTCAATTGCCTAGGAACTTGAATGTATATTGCCTACAACACTTTTGGTTGTTGAGGTATGATGTTCTCTGAATGGCAGCTTTGGAATATTTAATGTGTCTGTTCTAATGAGCATCACCAAATGTCCATGGCTGCTAGATCACATGTACACAGAAGACAAGGATTCTGATGGTGAAGCTGGATTTTAATCTGCTAACTGAAATTGGGAATATCTGTTTGCAGTGGATTATTTACTTTAGATCCTATGCTGCTAAGTTAATAAGGAACACATATCTGATAGCAGATGCATTCTTTTTATTTTCTTTTGCACTAATATTTTATAGAGCATCACTAGTGTGTGCTTAGACCTTTAAATACCTTACTTATATAGGTCTATTAGATACCAGATACTTGAACAGCTATACTTTGGTGTTGCGATGAAGAAGTTCTTATAAAGATCATTTGGGGACTTAAATTCAGTTCTTTCTGTCAATCTTGCAGATCTCTATCAAGGTCCAGGTCTCCATTGCCATCTGTAAGTTAAATGTTTTCATTAATGCTTGAATCAGTACCCTCATGAAACTGCTAAATAATTTATGTTTAATTTTGTTATATTCATTCATCTTAAACCTGCACTTTAAACCGTTCGATATTCCTATCCAATTGACCCTTAGTCGAAGAAAGATGTCAACGAAAGCCCAAAGAAGCACAGCCCCACTAGGAGCCCTGTCCGCAGTCGCAGCCGGAGTTCATCCAGGTCCTTTTTGGGCACCAGAAGCTCAAACAATTTAGTTTATATTTTCTCTGATGTTGGATGCATTCTGAATGTAAATGTGTGTTTTGACAGGTAAAACAAGGGGTGATGCATCTGATGCGAATGTATGGCTCCCCTGTACTATTGGACTTGTGTCACTGAACTAGACCAATGAGATCTCGTATAATCTTTTTTGCCCAATGTTTTAGCTTGAACAATTTTATGGCGTTGGGCCTGATTGCGCACGTGTATTTTTGTTAAGAATTGCGAACCATCTCATTTGATTACTCTCAAATGCTTTCTTGATGCATGATGTGCCTTGATTGTTTTTAAAGCGAGATTTATCTTTTTTTTTTTTAATCTGGGGGGGGGGGGGGGGGGGGGGGGGGGGTAAACACTACACTATGTGGACTAGGACGGGTCAGCCCAGCCCAGGATCCGGCCTGGACCTGTACAGACCTGACCTGGCATGGTGAATCAGGACTGGGCCTGAGGCCCGACCCCAGTGGGTCAATAGGTGGACTACGAGATCAACATTTGGTGGACTGGCTCGGTTGGTCCGGGCACAATATTTTTTTTTAATTTGTTCCCATTTGGCTGGCTGCTAGAGTGCTAGGTGGGTGGGGCTGGGCGGTTGGGGGTGGAATTAATTCGAAAAGACAATAAATAAAATTATTTCATGTTCGACCTGGCACCGCCGGACCCGGTCTCGGTACAAACCCGGGTCGGTACCGGGCCTAATGTTTTTGGGCCCGGACCGGACTCGGCCCAATGAGGGGATTGACACAATATGTAGACATAAATAATTGAAAGTGTACGTCTTAATCTAATTCGTAAAATAAGACATAATTAACTCCATATGACTATATGAGTAGCGAAGCTTTAATGTTATCTTTTCTGTCATTTTCTGTGTCTAGAAATGGGAGGAAATGGGAGGAAGCTCAAAGCCTCAAACATTCAAGTATCCATATTCCCTAATAATATGACCCCTTGTTTAGTTTAGGAGGTTATAGTGCTAATAAAACTCTGCGACATACTCTCTTTCTTCTTTTTATTTTTACATAAGAATAGATGTGGCTTTTTGTGTGTTTGTGGGTATATACATGTAAATTTCTGCATATATAGTAAATTTCTACAAAACGTTGAATTTTTAAACACTTTTTACATAAATTTTAGATTATGTTCACAAAATTTCAGTTTAAAATTTGATCAAAAAGTTAGTTAAAAAATTATTGAAAAACTTTGCGCCAAATTATTGAGCTGCAAACACTAATTCTAAAAATGATTACAAATTGATACTCAAAGTTAGATAATAAAATGATATTGTGTTGATCAAGAAAACTAAAGTTTTAAATCATTTTGGGACTTATAAAGCAATAAAATGAAATCTACTTAAGTTCAATGTAACAAGCACTTAAGTTGAAGTCCAAGAAGAATTAATAGATAAAACACATCAAATATTACTATTTTAGAGTCTGTTTGACAACACTGTTTATTTTAGAGGCTGTTTGACAACACTGTTTTTCGGCTTATCAGTTAACTTTTTCACCGAACATGTAACTTTTGTTTTCGCGCGCTAAATTGTGTAATAAGTAGAAAAAGTAAGGTTGTAGTTACTTTTCTGGCTGTATTGACTGAAGTTACTGTAGATGACCATTTTAGCTATTTTACATATGATTTTTTCTTTATTTTATTAGGAAAATATATTTTAAAAATAATTTTTTCTTAAATCAGCAGAATCAGCCAATACAACCACTTCAATCAAAACTTTATAAATTTTAACAGAATCAACCAAATGAGCTGATTTTCGTGCTACCAAACAGGTTCTTAGATAGTTCCAACTCAATATAACTAATCAAATCTAGTTCACGGCTCCAAATGAACTCGAATTATTATAAAACTATAGCTAAATGTGAAAAAATAATAGAGATGAAATTTAATTTTGTGTTATGATGTTGAGATCGTAATTGATACTACATATATATCACAATAACAAATACTTATGCTTATCATAAAGAATGCTTCAAATGAATCTCAAGTTTTAATGATGCTTAAAAGTTAAAAGTATCTATATTCTAGACAAATTTGGATTTGACGCTAAAGTGATAAATAAAGACACATTTCTCTTTTTCTAAGAATGTTTTCTTTTAGACTAAAATTTGCTGGTTTGATTTGAAATTTTAACTTAATTGAAATATTATTTTTATATTATAATTCGTAAATAATTAATTTCTATTCATATATAATTAAAAATTATATGTTTTCCCGGAATGATGCATGATGATACACATGCTTCTTTAGAGTGCGTTTTTTTGTTATAAAAATATTTGTAGTTTACTCATAACTCATACATTTTTTAGAAAATATATATTATCCGCATTGTTCCATGATGTGAATTGAACTACTATGATCATCCGCATTGTTTATAGATTATTTTTTTTTGGGAAAAAATTGATCTATAAACAATGTGCATAATCATTAAAAAGTGTGATGTGTTGTTTTCTAGTCGTTAAGGTATAAAAAATAAATTTAATGCTTCGTATATTCAATAATAATAACAAAAACAGTTAGAATAATAACAATAAGAATATAAATAATATAAATAATACTATCATAATATAATATCAATAATAATGATCATAATAATAATAAATAATACCACATCCGATCAATTAACATCGAGACAAGAGGAGGTGACACAATTATTAAGAAAAATGTACTCCCTCCGTTCCTATTAAAACTTCCAACTTTCCTTTTTCGTCTGTTCCATTTAAAACTTCCACTTTCCCTTTTTAGTAAATAATTTGTGGTTCACATCATTTCTTACACATTTCTCTCTCTTCTGCACAACTCTCCACCACACAATATCCACTATCTTAAATTGTGTGCCAAGCCATTTGGAAGATAAAATAGGAACGGAGGGAGTATTTATGCGATTGATATTGAATTTGTATATAAGAATAAAGTAAGAATGATTTAGAAGAAAATAAATTTTATCTGATTTTGTATGAAACAATAATAGTGTGATTTTCCAAAAAAGTAAAATGAGACAATCAGATATACTAGTATGATCTCATCTATTTTGATTTGGTCAGGTACGGTATAATTGAAAAGAAAATATGGCCGGGGCCGACGGGTTCCGGGTTAACCGCATTTTTTTGAATTCCAATTCGGGCTCCGGTCGAACTCAGCCCGATCGTTGAAGTTGACGGCGACCTTAACTAAGTCTTCGTATCGCCGCGCTGCCTTCGGTTGATCGGCACTCCAAGGAGGCGGCTGACGGCGAACAACGATGTTTCCGACGGTATAAGCACCTTCAATTTCGTTTTTACTATAGCTTTTGTCCGCGGAATTGATAATGAAAGTTAACAAAAACTATGAACTTCATCGTTAATTCGTTACTGTAGGAAAGCGAAGATTCTGATCAAAGTATTTCGGGTTAGACTCATTTTGATGAACAACAGTGCAATGCTTAGGTAGGTAGATGTATGTTTATTATTATGTTGATCTGTTTTTTTTTTGCTCATAATCAGAAGACGAAGACATAGATTATAATTGGTCAACGAGTTGTGTTTCCCTTGGCAGTCCTGCTGAGAATAAGGTCGGTAACTGTGTTTAAAATTTGTTTTCTCTCAAATTTCCACAATTCATGGATGCTTAGTACAGTACTACTTTATACGATAGTAAATGGCTAAGTTCACAGTGTATTGTGTATAGAGTGCAGTAAGAGTAGCAATTGTTAAATACATAGTTTCGTAAAATCTATTTTCATATTTTTGCAACCCTATATAGATGAGGCAATTTGAGCAATGAACATTGCAGCACTTTCACATTTCTGAAAAGAGGTAGCTGTGTGTTTTAACTCTGATTTGTCTTAAACTTTTCACGGATGTTGTGTACAACACCACTTTAGAAGGGGCTAAGTTCAGTTTTGTTTTTGATATAAGGTTCATATGCTTTCAGTTAGAGTAGCATGTTATTAAATCTAATTTTTATTTTTCAACCCCTTGATTCATGAGTCGGTTTTAGCATTGGACATTGCAGCAGGTTTGTATTTATCAAAAGAGGTAGCAGGAGAAGAATTCATAAATAGCCATGATGCTCTTCATGCTCATTTGTTCTTCTTGTCCTTTCTGATCATACATGTGCAGGGAAATATAGGGATTCTCTCACAGCTTGAGACACTAAAGGGTAAACTTTGAAGCCTCGTCTACTTTCTTCTATAGCCTTGTCCTCAGAAATGCTTGTTTCTGAGTATGTAATTGCATATTTTAAAATTTAACGTTATGTATCACGTATTAATGTGCAGATCTGCATAAACTTGATTGCACATCCATGGCTATCCCTGAATCTCCAGAGGTACAAATTGTTGAATGGGTATAATAGTTGATTTCTACTTGTACAAATTAGTGACCAACAAAAAAAATACTACACCCGTCTCTATTTCCGTTTATATTTTCAGTGTAAGAGGTTTGATAGAAGTTAAAGTCATTTTGAATATAGTTAATTGAAATTTCCATATTTAGAAACTACACTAAATGTTCAATTGGTCTACCAAAATTGAATTCAAACACCAGAAAATAATAAGGAATTAGGTTGACCACATGAATTTTAAAATGACAGTCTTTATAGGGACGGAGAAAGGGGATTCTAAAAATTGTAGTTGACTAGTTGTACCTTGGTCTATAAATAATCCAAAAATGCAATTATTCCTGAATAAGAAGTTGAGTTAATAACAAGTACAGAAAAAGTACCTGTTGTTTGGGCTGTTTTCAGATAGGGGCACATGTTTCATTTTTTAACAAAGTGAGACATGTGTTTCAATTCCGTTATCACAGCTGGGGCATGGCGTCTAACGCCGTTAGACAAATTAACTCTGATTTTCAAAAGTTTCTGAAAAATTAAAAGAAAAATACTAGGAGGTGCGCCTCATCAAGAAGACCTCCAAACAATTTTTTTTTGTTTCCAGCCACCCTGTCGCCAGAAAGTCCACCGGAAAAGTGACACTAGCGAATTTGTTTTTAAAAAACAATCCAAATAAAGCCGAAAAATCCAAAGAGAGCAATAGTTTGTTGGTCTCGTTGACAAGGCGCACCTCCCGGTATTTTTCTTTTAATTTTTCGAAAACTTTTGAAAACCGGAGTTAATTTTTCTAACGGCGTTAGATGCCATGTCCCAGATGTGATAACGGAATTGAAACACATGTCTCACTTTGTTCCAAAATGAAACACGTGCCCCTATCTGAAAACGGCTCAAACCACATGTACCTTTTCTGTACTTCTCCCTAATATGAAATAATGCACTTACCGATATTATTTGTGTTAATGGGAAAGGCTGGTACAGCTCTAGATTACAAACCTTTGACTGCTACATTTTTATGGTTAGTGGAAGGAAAAATGCAAATATAATGGTTGATACAAGTTTACAAGTTTAGATGCAAATATGTTAGGGGGCTGATTATTCTTGTTTGTTATCTCAGAGGCGAAATGAATTATGTATTGATGATGATGTTGAGCTTCCTGTTTTCAACAATGAGCACCATTTCAGCGTGGCTTCATCTTGCAATCCAGATGAGGAAATTGGGTTATTTCCTGTATTCGAAGGTATTTGCAACTCTGAAGAGGAAACTGTTTCTGATGATGAGGTATACAAGACAAACTCCACTACTTGCTTTAAGTATCTATGGTTCTATGAAATTCTGTTACATCCCGTTTTCTGTTCAAACATATGCAGAAACTTAATGTTGTAAGTGTTAAATGTGAGACAGAGAGCACGCTGTCAAGAGAAAATGAGCATACTGAGGCATTCTATTCCAACAATGAAAAATCTGGCTGCTCATTAGTGTGTGGTATCTCGCCGAAACATATTCATCCAGCTAATGGTGCTAGTTCCTTATAGCTTGGTAACATTTGTGGACTGTATTTAGTTATTCATATACAACGGTTGAGCTTTATGATTGCTTCAATTCTTCCATAATGGAAAGTTCCACACTTTCAAAGATCGGTCATGTGCTTCTTGATGTAATTATTTTGGTCTTATACTCTTATGAATACATTTTTTCAATATTTAAGTATGTCATGGTGACTGGTGAGGAAGAGACCATGAAGAAAACTTAATGGTAAAATTATACCCCCTTTGCCTCTTAAAGAAGATCCTACTTTGACCATCAAAGAATAAAGAAATCAGAATTTTTGCTCATTATAGTAGAGTGTGCTTTTGACACTGTTTTTACATTGTACATATTTGATTGATTTTGATTTTTTTTCTTTTTCAAATAAGGAAACACGACTATAAGTTTATTTAGGGATGTCTAGTGTAGTCAAAAGTGAGTGCCTGGGCACTTAAGCACACCAGGAGAGGCACATAAGAGGGTCAGCACCTGTTAGGCTGCCAGGAGCACACATCTGATTGAGGTACACGTTATGCGCCAGAAGCATACCCTTTTATCTCCTGGGCTGGGAAAGGCTTGTCAGCCTATTTTTCTGTTTGAGCCTATTTTAAATTTTAAATAATAAGCCCATATTTATAATAAGATACAGTCCATTCAAATAATAGATCAAAACAACCTAAACCCATGTTAAATCCTTTGAAGTCACAATAACGGTCTACTTCATTGCTCTCTCCTGTGATCCACTCACGTGAGCTGCTCAGCGCTGAAACCTCCTCTTTAAATGATGAATAGTCCCTGAGGGACTCCAGTCATTGATTTTATATTAAATCAGATAATGGAGAAGAAACAAACTCCTTTTAATGACGAATAGTCCTTGAGAATTGTAACAAGGGAAGTTGGGCTAGAAACTAATCATGTTTTATTATTTAAGTTATGAACTCTTGATCTGGTGTCTTTCTTTTGTGAACCATGACTTTATTTTGGTGAATCATGACTTTGTTTTGAGAAAGATGATTTATTTAATGCATTTGGTTCAATATATGTAATATATTCTAAACATGCATCATGCAGAATAATAAATGTAATATATTGTAAACAATTCGCCCAACACGAGTTGGAGAAGTGTTTTATTTGTGTTTTGCGGCTCAAACGCTGGAGTGCCCTAGAGCTTTGAGTGCACCTGGTGACTTTGACCACCTTGGGGACGTCCCAAAAGACATACAAGAAGTTTATATAGGGACAAATGAGTACTATATCGGATGCATTTGGCTAGCAATACAAAGTTAGGGTGTACTTGTGTTAAGTAATCCAAGCATACTTTGGGCTAATTACATTAAAAGCCCCAAGATTTGAAGGTGGTGACAAAACTACTCCATCATATATTAATATATACTACTCCCTCCGTCCCAATTTGATTTGCAAAATTTCCTATTTTGGTTGTCCCAAAATGGTTTTCCACTTTCTATTTTAGGTATGTAAATAAGAATAAAGTTACAAATTTACCCTTACTTTTACTTTTTCACCATTAACCTAAAGGCATCTACTTTTAGAAAGATGGGCAAAAGTGTAAAAAGCAAGCATCATTTATTGTCATTCCTTAATCCTTGTGCCGGTCAAAGTTTACAATTCAATTTGGGACAGAGGGAGTATATAATTCTTAAATATCATATCCTTGTAGAATCCAAAGAAGGATGATTATTTGAAATAGCATATAGAGCCATCTTTCTTTCTTTTGTTTAACATACTCAGTATATGCTATCCTCTTTCAACACCCTGTTAGCTAATTTTTACAAGAAGCGATCACATGATGCAGGAAGACAAGGGAGTGTGAAGCACAGTCATTTATTTTGCTACCACAGAGAAAAAGAAGCTAGTCATTCTGTAGTTGGCGGTGACACCTTTAAATGTAACATTTCGCTATCTCAGATTCCACTAAGTGTAGATTTATGTACAGATCCACATATGCTTGGGAAGAGTGGGTTGGAAGACTCATTGGGTAACATGCAAGAAAATGAAATAGAACTGATAGGGAATGATGCAGCACCATCTGACATAGCAACTGAACACAAATCTAGTGAGCGATCAATGGCTGAGCTTCTGGATTGTTTTCAGGAGAAAAGGTCTTTGCAGTTGGGGAATTCTGTGAAGGTCAGCTTGCCTCCTTAACTTCCATTTCCTCATATATACCATCTGACTTTTGTAACATCATCCATTACTTTCATTGGATTTGTGTAGTATTATAATATAAACAGAACAAGGGTAACACACTTTCCAAGGAGAAATATATCACCATTGGGTGATAGGGGTGCAGTTGATGATGATATACCATCAAGTGATGGTGAGGTAAAGTACTGCCTTATGTATTTTCTCATGGAAACTATGTAAAGGAATTGATACAGCTAAATATCTTCCTACCGTTGCTTTAGGAAATCCCTCAAGTGTTGAAAGCTGTCGTCCCTGAGACAACAATTGCAGACCAATTTCATGAAGCTCTAGGTAGTGCAACTAGGAATGACAGAATACCACATGTTTCCACCACTGGGAAACACTGGTATGCGCTTCATCTAAAGCCAACCAGATAAATGTATAGGTTCCTTGCCATCAACACACCGACTGCCTCCTAAATTATTTAACATTGGAATGGGGTTCCTTTTCTCCATGCAGCAGTGGGTTATTTTTTGACTTGCAACGCGTGATGCTGAGTGAGAAGGAAAGGGATCTCACTTTCATGAACCACACATCGAGAGTCCCTGGCCTGAGTGGTAATTACAATGCACTAAAACTTTTTTTTTGAAAGAGTGCACTAAAACTTTAACATCTCTATTAGTGCATAGTTATTTTCATTTATTATGTGTGTATTTTTGTGGTCTATTCTTATTCTCAGGCGAAAAAATCTGTATTGATGTGAAAATTTTATCAAGCTCTTTGGAGGCAAAGCTGTTTATTTGTCAATGCACTTTAAAAGGAGAAGAGGTATGAAGTGATCTAAACTGGGGAAACTCTTCTACAGTGCAGTTACATATGAACGGATGATGAGCAATTAAATAATCATGAAATTATTTTTTAATATATGAATTTTCTTCCCCAGTAGAATGGTAGTCGTCTAGTCAATGGTTCATCTTCTTTAAATTGATTATTCGAGATGGAGACTCAGCTAAATAATAAAGGAAAGTATTAGATAGGATTTTATTTATCATTGCCTAAGAATTGTTCAATGTACTTTTGTAGTGTTCTGACGGGATAAATCATCCTAACTTCAAAAAGACTAAGGGAGGAAGTTCTTTAACTGTCATCTTTAATCCGACGATATGTAATGATGTTGAACTTGATAAAGGGAACCTCATCCGCATTTACCCTCCTTGGTAAGAGTTCTTAGAATTCTTAAGAACCATTATTTATGTAATTTTCAAATATTTTTCCGAAATTAAAAGGGGAGCCTTAGCACATCAGTTAAAGTGATGCGTTGTGACTGAGAGGTCACATATTCAAGTCTTGGGAGTGGCCTCTTTATAACATGATAAGGGGAAGTTTGCCCCCTATACACCCTTGTGGTGGAACCTTCCCCGGACCCTCTCCTTGCGGAGAAGCTAATGTGCACCTTGCTTCCCTTTTTTTAAATCTTGTTGCGGAATACTAATAGAGGAAATATGTATGGTCAGTGATACTTAAGAATTATAATTTACTACCTCCGTCCCACTAACATTGGGACATGAGGGGACACACTTATTAAGAAAAGTGAATTTATGTGGTTGATATTCAATTGATAAAGCAAGAATATTTTAGAACCACACAAAATTTTCCAAATTTGGTATGAGACAATATCAGTAGGATGGACCAAAAAAGAAAGATGAGACAATCTTAGCGGGATAGAAGGAGTACTTCTTATGCTCTACTTATATATATATATATATATATATATATATATATATATATATATATATATATTCGTTTTTGGAGAAAAATAAGTTTTAGTAATAAATTCAAAGGAAAGTACAACCGCTAATGAAAGATGAAAGCAAATGATAAAAAATGAATTTAAGCTAAAGAAAGGAAACAAATCAAATCTTCTTGTCTATTTAATAGGGCTGGGAATAAGCCAGGCAGCCTAAAAGGGGCAGGTGGCTTGGCCTGTTTAATAAACAAATTAGGCTTGAGCTTTTAGAAAAGTCCGCATGTCTAACTAGGCCAGGCTTAGCCTAACTCTGAAGCCTTCTTGGCTTAACAGGCCGGCCTATATTTATGAAAAAAATTAAAGATGTCCTTTTGAGCAAATTAATCCAATAAAGTACCGCCAACCTTTTTTATTTTGATTATTATACAATTTAAGTTCAAAAAATAAAAAGTTCAATTTTTTGGTAAAGAATCTGGCTGATATGAGTGATCGGCCAAAAAAACAGGTTACCAGACGGGTTCTTATTGTCTTTGTATTTCTTTTTATTTAATTATTAACTTTATTTTGCTCAGTCTCTTTACTCATTTAACAACCAGTGATAGAGCCATATAAACATATTGGGGGGGGGGGGGGGGGGGGGCTCAGAACATAGTCATGTACAGTATCATAACGTTGAATTTTGAAACAAAATTTGAGTTTAACAACAGTACCAGACGTGTCATGTAGTTTGAATAACTTTTGAGTCACAATGAGTTAAGTGAGCTATAATATATCAAATGTATTTTAATGCTTTACATTCACAAAGTTTCAGGGGGTCGACTGACCACCCGACCCCCTTGACCCCCTGGTTCCACCCTGTTAGCAACAACTAGAAAATGCATGACAGGAGTAACAACTAGTGGCCCCTGTTAGCAACAACTGGAAACTGCATGACTGGGGCAACGACTAGTGTATGGCATGGTCTATTACGATTATGACCTTTTGTGAGGCAGTTTAATGTTGTAATAAATGTAGCTTAGTAGTCTCCCATCATCATCGTCATCAGAACTCAGAAGTGGTTCCCCATAATAAATAGAGGGATGAATGCCATCATTAGCTTGGAATTTCCTAAATGTAATAAGGCTAGCCTATGTATCATAAATAGGAGTGGGTACTTCGTGTTGAAAGGCATAGCTTGTCTACAAACATACACTTAATTGAAAAATAACACTACATTCCTTATGGTGTTTAGGATTTTCTTTATTCTTGGCATACATGATACATTACTCATGTTTATCATTTATCAACTAGAATAAGTTGAATACGAAGAAATCCACATCAACCTGCAAAATGCCATTGCATTCCTTGATTATCTCACCAACCAAGTGTACTGTTAGTGCAGTGCATGAAGTACGGGGTATATAATAGAAATATATTTAGAGTTATCTTTGTCTTGAATCTTCATGCAGTCATTTCAAAATTTGTTTATACACTGCATTGCAATTTAACTCGTGTTATTATGTATGCTGCCTCAAAATGTCTGTTGTAGGAAGGAGGTTAATGCCAAACTAAATGACGAGGTTGTGATTTTATCCAGATATTTTTCAAGAGTAGCCTCTGATCAAATTAGCGGTATGATAATGAGTTAATGCCATATGGTGGACCTCAATGTTTTCTGTGAGCTGTCCACTATTGTACTTCGTCATTAATTCTGAGGTTGTTTCTTTGTGAACCGTGTGAAGCTATCATTTAAAGATTGACACATTTACAAGTTTATGTAGCCCTATTATTTCTTAGTGCTAAGTCTGTTAAAAGATGTGAAGAACACAAGTGCAAAACAGTGGTCCATTAGTTATTAAGTTCCTAGTATTGAAGTTTTTAATTAAAATTATTTACTTAAGTTCTGGCTTATAGTTATTTGTTTGCAAATCATGTTCAAACAAATAAGCGTGTGTGTATCTAGTTCATATACCTGTACCTGCAATATGTTTGTTATTGTGTTAGTGAAGTTCATTCAGACTTCAGACAGATATTGTTCCTGACAAATGTATGAAGAGGAAAAATACTACGGAGTACAATTATTAAGGCAAAAAATTCGGGTAGATGAATTATTACGTAGTACTTTGTTACGAAACCTTTAGTGACAAATGCAACTTATTATTTCAAATTTTCCATGGAATTGAAAAATGCAACTGTATATTTGTGACAAACTAAATGCTAGGTTGTAAAAACCGGGCCGGGGGTGACCCGGAAAAATTACTGGGTAAAGGGTCAACCTGGACCCGGTGGGTCAAACCGGTCAAGACCGGTAAACCCGGTCAACACAATATATGTATGTGTGTGTGTGTAAATGTGTAATGTATGATTAAATTGTTAAAGTAAAAAATATTTTCCTTCCTAATTAATAAACTATTATTATGTTGTACACAAGTTTTAAGTAAATCATGAATGTATTTGAAATTAGAGGAACAAAAAAATAAATATAACATCAATTACAAAATCTTAAAAAATATATGTTGCACTTATATTTGGAATATTTTATCCGTATAGACAATATATAATAATCTATCGTTAGTTTTCATATTATATTATTATTATTATTATTATTATTATTATTATTATTATTATTATTATTATTATTATTATTATTATTATTATTATTATTATTATTATTATTATTATTATTATTATTATTATTATTATTATTATTATTATTATTATTATTATTATTATTATTATTATTATTATTATTATTATTATTATTATTGTTATTATTATTATTATTATTATTATTATTATTAATCCATATTAATAGATTGATAAGATGCAATGATATTGAGTAAAGGATAAATACACAGAAGAAGCATCAAATTTCAACGAGTCGGTAATTAAGCACCTGTGCAGCTTGTAAGATCTGCAGATCGAATCTCATCTGCATTCTGCACCTTCAAAACCCTTAGGTGTCGTTTTTGCCCGTGCTATGCGGGTTTGAGCAATCCGGGCCGGGCCTGGTTTCTAGCTGGTTTACCAATTAATTCTGGGTTTTGCTCTATTAGCGGTTTAGGGGACAACCGGACCGGATTAATTTCCGGTTCATCGGGTTCCGGGCTGACTCGGCTGGTCCGGTTCTTTAAACATAGACTAAATCACATAAATATCAAGTAAACTTTGTTTTTTTTTGCCACTAAGTAAACTCTATAAAATTGTACTGGGTTTTTGGTAGGGATGGACCGGTTCCGGGTCGGGCCTTGGGCGGTACCGAGGTTGGGAGTTGGAGGCCCGGTACCGGCCAGGCAGGTTTTGGGACCGGGTGGGGTCGGGCTCGAGTCATTTTTTTTAAATTTGTTTTTCTTATTTATTCCTACCGCATCCCAAACACCCCCAAACCACCCAGCCCAACCTGCCTACCATCAAATCCATTCAGGAAAAAAATTGGATCCGGATCGGTTCCAAGACACCCTGAACCCGTGACCCGCCCCAAAAAAACCCCGGGTTCGGGCCCAAGGCCCAGTCCTGATCAACCGGTACGGGCCACTACCGCACAATGGCAGTCCGGTACCAGGCCGGTCGAAACGGTCCCGATCCACCCCTAGTTTTTGGTGTCAACGATGGCACGCACCGAGAAATCTATGGTAACGTTTTCCCCATTAATTAGTCTAATGTGAAGATAAAATGAAGATAGAAGTAACATTTTTTGCCTTAATAAAGTAATACTCCTTAATTTTTAATACTATCGTATATTATTTTACACATTTTTTTTGCCATACCTAATTGCCTACATGCTAACATGCAATGTTCTAAAAGGTGTCAAAAAGTGGGGTCTAGCTCACCTAGACGTGAGGCAGTGGGAAAATGCTTCCAATAATAGAAATATAAGATATGGAAAAGGTGGTCAACTCTGCTGCAGTTTCCACCAAAGCTCGGCGTGAAAGGCATAAGTTTTTTGATAAATTACGTTATGTAAAAAAGTTAATCAAATCTAACAAAACATTTTTATAAACATGTTGTACATGAAATTTAATATTACATTCGTGTTAGTGGAAGTCCAATGAGACATAATAAAAGCAACAATATTACATTCGTGTTAGTGGAGTACATAATAAAAGCAACAATATACACCGTATCATTTTATATTTGCACTTTTTATACATAATAAAAGCAATATATATTATTTTGTATTTGTACTTTTTATACATAATAAAAACAATAATATATTATGTAATTTTCGATGCGAATTTCACTATGCGTCATCCGGAAACAATCTCTTTGTGTTGTAGCACAGTGGTAAGACTGCGTACATCCGACCCCCTTACCCCACCAAAGGTGGGATCCTTTGCGGCACTGGGGTAATGATAATGATGATGAAGAATGACTTTTTATACATTTAAAAATTATAAGTTTAGGAGTTTACCTACGTGTGGCAAACTATATTAATTCAAAGAATTGTTCGCACTTACGATATAGTCAGACAATAGATTAAAATTGCACCATCTATCTTCCAAAAATCTACATCTAGACTCACTAAAAGCCCTACAATCAGACACTAGACCACCTTCAAAAAGCAACGCGAATTGCTGACCATCAAACGGGTAAGATGGTCAGCAATTAGTGATTTGCCTCAAATAATCCTTAAGGACACAATACTCTTCCCCACTTCACTAATACTATTCCCCACTTCACTAGACTCATAATAGTTGAAAATCTCCTCAATCCCTAATCAGGCATCGAAAAATGAAAAATGGACAAAAATAATCTCTGATGGAGTATATGGCCCGGGAACCCCCGGCCCACAGACTCTTACTACTCCAATAAAGGCCCAATAGGCCCAGAAAGCACAACAGGCCCAAATCACAGCGCCCAGGGTACCAAGCAGCCCACAATGCGCACCAGGGGTGCCTAAGACCCCCTGGCCGAAGGCTCTAACTCTCACAGAAGGGCCAAGACAGGAAAACAAAGTTACTGGGAAAAACGGCGAAAATCAGTAGCCCTCGGCAACCAGAGCCCTCGGCACTAAGGGGGTCCCCGATACTCAGAGCCCTCGGCTAGTCATCAACAGCCGAGGGCACCTTTCCCGACATAATATCCGCTCCACATGCGTATGGATCACCGTACCCTGTACAACGTCCCATCCAACAGCCACATTAAATGCGGCCACATGCAGTTGCCAGCGCCAACCGGTTGAGGTGACCTCTCGGCCAATGGACGCTTGACGCGTGTCCCTGTCCGACATTTATTGCTACTATAAATAGCACCCCATTCCCCATTTGTAACCAAGTCACAATTCGTAAGACACAATACTCACGCTGCATACTTTCTAATATACTTTCTCTCTCTACTTACTCCGACTTCTCTCTAGTTATTCCCCGTAATAACCCCTCGGATAAGCTACCCCCCGGGTACACAATCCATCATTTGGTGCTCTCGTTGAGAGCCGAACAATCAAGTAAGAAACCCTCCCCCTCGACCAAACACAAAACACCCAGCTAAAATGGTGAGAACAACTCGTGCCAACTCCAAGAACGTAGAGGACAGGAACATGGCCCTCGGCGAGGTCGACGTCCCCGAAGCCTCTAACAGGGCTCCCGGAGGCGGCGTCATCGCCGGGTTGGACCAGACAGCTGTCGACCTACGCCAGCAGATTCAACAAAATGCCCCTGATGCCCGCCTCGGCATCGAGGCCAAGAAGAAGGACCGGAGCGAAAATCAAATTAGCCCTCCGGTCATCACCATCGATGTACAATCGGCGCTCTCCGCCTTCATCCAGACGCTCACCCAGAACCTGGGTGCCTTCGGCACTTTGGTTCCCCTCCAACCTCAGGTGGGGGAGAATATTATGCCTCCCCCTCATCCACGACCCCTCGGTAACCCGGTCCTCCGGATGGGGAACTCCGAGGGGGTCATGGCCCAAGATACGGCCTCCCAAGAAGTCCAGTCCCGGGACCGCCTCAACGTGAACAAGGAACAACTCCGGACCTCCGCCCTCGAGAGGCTCGGAGGGGCGCAAGACCGCCGAGGGGTCCAAGACCGCCTCGGGGGGAAGGCGTTCCAAAGGCCTCAGGAAAGTGGCGGGTTCGTCTCCAGGGCCAATGAAAGGCGTCCCCCTCAGGACAAAGGCAATGCACCTCTTCATGCCAATGACGCACGCCACCAAATCAAACAGGCCTACTCGGCCCGGGTCCATTCGCAGGGGGCGGAGGCTCTCCCGAAGGACCCCCGGGACGAAATCATTGCGGCCCTCCAGCGCCGGCTTGACGAGATGGAGGCCACCAGAGCCCACGCCACCACTTCCGCCCCTCATACAGACTTCAAGTATGAGGCGATGATGGCCAAGATGTAAGAAATGCAGAAGAAGATAGCTGAGGGCTTCGGGGAACCCACCATACAGCTCCGGACCCGGACGCCATTTACCCCAAGGGTATTGGTGGCCCGGATCCCAGAAAAATACCGAGGGCAGCTCATCAAGCCCTATGACGGAAAGACTAACCCCAAGAGCACTACAGCAGGTATCAAAACAACATGATGATGGTGGGGGCATCGGATGAATATTTGTACCGCTGGTTCCTCTCCACCCTAGAGGGGCCAACTTACGAATGGTTCAATCGATTGCCCGAGGGCTGCATTGACTCATGGCAAGAACTCGCCCAGCGATTCTTGACGCAATTTGCAGGAAGGCGCCGCACAAGAAAACACTTCTCCCACTTGCTAACGGTAAGGCAGAAGAAGGAGGAGACCCTTCGGGATTTCCTGGAGCGCTGGAGGACAGAGGCTGATAAAGTTGATGGCGCTGACGACGAGACCCTCCTGGCCCTCCTACAAACAGTACTCCGACCCGGGAACTTCTCAAGGAGCCTCATCATCGAACCTCCCCGCGATTATATAAGGGCCCTACAGTGGGGGGACCGGTACGCCGAAGCCGAGGAGGTGGAGAAGTGCCACCATGTCCCAGATCAGCAACGCCCTCGGCCGGACGACAAAGGTAACCGGGGGCCGGGGGCTCCCCGCAATCATCCCAAGGATTCTGCCCCCTCCGGTGATCGCCCCCGGCATGGCCAAGCCAAGCCCGGGGGAGGTTACAAGGGGAACCCGAGGGCTTGG